CATACAATTTCCCTCTCCTAAATACTAAATAATGTTAGAGATCGTAATAATGAAAAATTACAAGCAGTTGATGTATCTATCAATAGTGGATTGGGATCAGCAGATGGCATAGTGGTTAAGGCACTGGACTCCCACAATGCCAGTTGTAGTTTGATTCCCAGACTTGGCGGCTTGAAACCGGGCCAGGTTTGTGTGTTTGTGTCCAAAATCTCAAGAGGAGAATGGAGGAAAAGGGATTGCATTGTGGCCATCATCCTGGGGGGTGATTTCTCACATTCTCTCTCTCTGTCTCTCTAGTGAGCACATGTACCCTATAGCAAAAAAATTTCTCTACAGAAAAAAATAGTAGATAGATGAATTGCAATATATTTGTATGGTAGACTACTATCCAATAGTTAACCTGAGATTAACTAAATATACATTTATCTATTTCAAGATTTCTCATTTACGGGACCAGCAGTTAGTGTAATGGCTATATTGCTAGATTCCCATGTAGTTCGAGTCCTAGACCCGGTGGCTTAAACTCATGCTAGGTGCATGTTCGTGCGTGCCCAAGGTCCTGAGAGGAGAAAGGAGGAGGAGGGATTGTGATGTGGCCATCCCTCCGGGGGGGTAATTTCTCGCTTTCTGTCTCTGTCTCTCTCTGTCTTCCTGGTGAGCATACGCACCCTATAGCAAAAACCTCTCCAAAAAAAAAAATTCTCATTTACTACCTCTACCAGTAAATAGCAGTAGCATTCCACTCGTTAGTTGTCACAACCAATCTAAATAAGTAGATTTTTAAAATATAATATGGGGCCAGCAGGTGGTGTGGTGGTTAAGGGCACTTGACTCCCGCATGGCCGACTGTGGTTTAAGTCCTGGACCTGGAGGCTTGCTTTCTCACTTTCCCCCTCTTTCTTTCTCTGTTGCTCCCTCTGGAAATATTTTTAAAAAATAATAATAAAGTTAAATAAAATAATTCTTAAAAATATATACATATATATAACATTACGGGGCCAGCAGGTAGTGTAGTAGTTAAGATGCTGGACTCCCATATGGCCGACCATAGTTCAAGTCCTGGACTCAGTGGTTTGAAACTCATGCCAGATGCATGTGCGTGCATGCCCCAAAATCCTGAGAGGAGAATGGAGGACATGGGATTGCAGCGTGGCCATCCCCGCAGGGAGTGATTTCTTGCTTTCTTTTTCTGTTGCTGTCTCTATAGAGAGTGGATGCGCTCTATAGCAAAAATCTCTCTCTCTCTCAAAAAAATATATACACATAATGTTAAGCAAGAAAAGCAAGTTGTAAATATGTACAATATGAATGCCATATATATGTCACACACACATACATAAAAAATTTTAGAATACACAAAATACTATGTATTAGTCATTTATTCACAAGTATTAATTGAGCACCTTCAATGTGGCAAGCCCTGTACCAGGTGCTAGGGATCCAAGTGAACCCCAGATGTCCCTGCCCTTATGAAACTTACATGCTAGTATTGGAGAAAGACAATAAATTATACAGTGATGTTAGATGGTGATAAGTGCGAGGAAGAAAATGCGGTGCATGGGGAGAAGGAGTTAGAGGTTGCTCTTTTAGATAGGTTGGTCAAAAAACACTTTCCTTTTTCTTTTTTTTAAGTTTTTTCCCATAGGGCACATGTGCTCCACCAGAGAGAGACAGAAAAGTGAGAAATCACTCCCCTCCCCCTGTAGGGTATGGGTATGCCACAATTCCTCTTCCTCCAGTCTCCTCTTTGGATATTGGGCATGCACGTACACATGCCCAGGGTGATTTCCAAACCACCGAGTCTGAGACTCGAACCTCGATCAGCCATGTGGAAGTCCAGCACTTTACCCACTATATCACCTGAGGGTCCAAAAGAATGATTTTTCTCATGAGGATTTTTTGTTTTGTTCTGTTTTAAAGTTTTTGCCATAGGACATGTGCACTTGCCAGAGACAAACAGTAAGAGGAAAAATGAGAAATCACCTCCCAGGGGGACAGCCACATCTTCTCCTTCATTCTCTTCCTAGAATTTTGCACATACACACATATGTGCCTGGTGTGATTTTCAAGCCACCAGGTCCAGAACTTGAACCGTAATCCACCATATGGGAGTCTAGTATCTTAACCACCATACCACCTGCTGGTCCTCCCACAGAGGTCTTTTTTTTCTTTTTTGAGAAGAGACCTTAAGTGACAGAGTAAGGCATTCAGATATTTGGGGGAAATAACAGACCAGAAAAAGAGAACAAGCACCAAATACAGCATAGAATCATGAACACACACTGAGGCTCAGAGGGATATTCATGAAAGCCACGCCTCTGGGCAGTAGGAGAAATGATTAGGATAAACAGTGGTGGCCATCAGAGGAAACAGCTTTATCTACCATACTTTTATTTGTTGTTATTTTTCTTCTTCTTTTTTCTTCCTTCCTCTTTCTTCTTCCTTTCTCTTCTCTTCCTTCTCTTCCTCTTCTTCTTCCTCTTTCTCCTCCTCTTTCTCCTTTTCCCCTTCCTACTCTTCTTTTTCTTGACAAGTGTGCTCGCCAGAGAGAGACAGGGAAAAAGAGAGGGAGAGAGAGGAATCACCCCCTAGGTGGTATGGCTATGTCACAATCTCTTCTCCATTCTCCTCTCAGGATTTTGGGCACATACACACACTCGTGGTAAGTTTCTCAGGCTGCCAGCCCAGGAGTTGAGCCAGTCAGTGAGCCCAGATTCACATGCCTTAACCACCACACCACCAGCTGGCCCTCCAATACTTTTAAAAGAAATACATGAATATGTTACTATTTTAATTTTTTTGCATTAAATGTATATATGTAATCACACGTTTAGACTAAAAATATGTATAACATACTGAATTCTGGGAACGGGACCCAAGCCTACCAGGTGGCTACTAACCTTCCAAGCACTAGTGCTACTTGTATGCCGTCATGGCTGGGCTATATCTCTCTTTTTCTTTTTCTTTTTTTTAAACTTTTCCTATGACTCTTCTTATCATTTGATATTCCTGAATGAGTTTATATTTTGCCTTTTACTAGGATAATTTTTGTATTTCTTTATCCTGGTAATGTTACATAGTGTGGAGTAGGGACAATTTTCTATCAACCCACATGATCTTGCATGGCATAAAAATGTTTATTAATGGAAGTCCGTTATACAGCTTGATTTGCTCCATTCTAAATATTACTTAAGGCAGGGTTCCATTTAGATATATAAATTGTTCCATCTAAATAACAAGCCACGTTACCATGATAGGAGAACTCAGTCATGATATCCATAAATTTGGCATATTTCCTCATCATATTATTATAGGAGGAGCATAAAATAGTATCAGGAGACTTGACATCAAGCCTTTGTTCTAACTGAATGAGGTTGCAAACATTATAGAACTTCTCTGAGCTCTAGTTTTCTTATCTGTAAAACAAGATTATTATCTCCTTGTAATGGTAATTAGAGGATGAAATAAGAAAATGTACTTAAAGCTAAAATAGCACATACTATATGCTGGATTGATTTTAATTCACACTTTTGTCTGGGTCTTCTTTTTCCATGTAAAAATATATATACAAGTTAAATGGGTTGTATTAATACTAAATCAGGGAACCAGCAGGTGGTGTGATAGTTAAGGCGCTGAACACTCCCACATGGCCGATCACAGTTCAAGTCCTGGACCTGGTGACTTGCTTTCTCACTTTCTGCCTCTCTCTTTCTCTCTCTCTTTGTGTCTCCCCCTGGTCAAATTAAAGTAAATGAATGAATAAATAAAATTCAATGAATAATTCTTAAAAAAAAAAAAAAAACCTAAATCAGCAGGTTCATAATGGTGTCCCATGGAGTCTACTGCAGAGCCAAAAAGAGAAGGCAAATGGGTAGGTCTCTGTGCCTCCATCCTCTTTAATTAAAGCCATTTTTTTTAAGAATTAGTTTATTTGACTTTATTTATTATTATCATTATTATTTTCCAGTTTGATCAGAGACATCCTCTTAAATTGAAGCCATTTTTTTTTTTAAGAATTAGTTTATTTGACTTTATTTATTATTATTATTATTATTTTCCAGTTTGATCAGAGAGACACAGAGAGAGAGAAAGTGAGAAAGCAAGCCACCAGGTCTGAGACTTGAACCGTGGTCGGCCATGTGGGAGTCCAGCGCCTTTAACCACCATGCCACTTGCTGGCCCCAAATTAAAGCCATTTTTGTTTGAGCTCTTTCTATATCAGAGTTACTGGGTGCCAGCCATGTATCCTATGGTTAAGGGAACCAGATCCCACATGGCCAACCATGGTTCAAATCTTAGCTTCAGGGGCCTGAAAAACATGCAAGGCACATGTGTATGCCTGCCCGGGATCTCAGTACGTTGGAGGAATGTAGAAAAAGGGATTATTGTGTGACCACACCCCATTAGAGGGTGCTTTTCCCTCTGATTCACTCCCTTCCTCTCTGGTGAGCACACAGGCCCTCTGGCAATAAAACAAAACAAATTAAAATAGAGTTCCTGGTGAAGTTGGCTCTCTGAGTAGCACCATGGTGGTTGGCAAGAAAAAGTGCCTTATGAAAGGCAGCAAAAAGGGAGACAAGGAAAAAATAGTTGATGGGTAGGAGATGATTGGTATGACATGAAAGCACCTGCTATGTTCAACATACAAAATAGTTTTCAAGGAACCAAAATTGCATCTAATGGCCTTAAGGGCCATGTGTTTGAAGTGAGCCTTGCAGATTTGCAAAATTATGAAGTAGCATTTAGGAAATTCAAGCTAATTACTGAGGATGTTCAGGGCAAAAACTTCCTGACTAACTTCCATGGCAGGTATCTCACCGTGACAAAATGTGTCCATGGTCAAAAAATGGCAGACCATGGTTGAAGCTCATGTCAGTGTCAAGACTATCAATGGTTATTTGCTTTGTCTCTTCTGTGTTGGGTTTACGAAAAAACTCAACAATCAGAATGAAAGAGCTCTCATGCCCAGCATCAGCAGATTCACCAAATCCAGAAGATGATGGAAATCATGACCTGGGAGGTACAGACAAATGACTTGAAAAAAGGGCTATAATAAATAAACTGATTCCAGACAGCATTGGAAAAGACACAGAAAAGTCTTGCCAATCCATCTACCCTCTCCATGATGTCTTCATCAGAAAAGTAAAAATGCTGAAGAAGCACAAGTTCGAATTAGGAAAACTCATGGAGTTTCATGGTGAAGGTAGTAACTCTGGAAAAGCTACTGGGGATGAGATGGGCACCAAAGTTGAATGAGCTGCATGCCGGGCGCATGTGCGTGCATGCCCAAGATCCCAAGAGGAGAATGGAGGAGAAGGGATTGCGGTGTGGCCATCCCCCCGGAGGGTGATTTCTCGCTTTCTGTCTCTCTGTCTCTCCCTGTTTGTCTGGCGAGCGCACGTGCCATATAGCAAAAACCTCTCCAAAAAAAAAGTTGAATGAGCTGGTGGATATGAACCACTAAGCCAAGAATCTATTTAAAGTTTAGACTTAATAGTGACAAATAAAAAGTCCTATTTGTGACAAAAAAAAAAAAAAGCAAATTAGACTAGCTAATCCCTATTAGCTTTAAAAATACTGTATTATGATTATTATAGACTCTCTTAAAAGGAAATACTCTTCTTTTTTTATAGCTGTCTTGCTATGAGCCCAGGTGAAGAAATCCTAACCTTGTTACAGACAATACCAATTAATATTGAAGAGCTTAAAAAAGAAGAAGATAATCTTCCCCAAGAGGATGGTAAGTGATGGGCTAGAATAGAGTGAAAAACTTAGAATTAACACATTCCACTGTCTCACAGGGTCCTTTCCTGGAAGTAGCTGCATTGTGGGATAGCAATATTTTGCTTTCTTTTTTCAGATGACCAGTGGTTAGATCTCTCACCAGATCAGCTGGACCAGTTACTACAGGAAGCTGCTGGCAAAAAAAAGTCAAAGGCCATTTCCAAAGAGGAGGAGGATCAGAACTATGACTTAAGTCAAGTCTCAGAGAGCATGAAAGCTTTCATATCCAAAGTCTCCACCCACAAGGGAGCAGAGCTGCCCCGGTAATTGGTATTTAATTATAAATTTCTAAATAGTTATAACCAAAATGTTGAAGTCTTTCAGTCATTGCCTTTCCTGTTCTTTTTCTTTTCTTCTTTGTTGAGGAAATGATTTTTTTTCTCTCTTTTTGTGACTCTTACTGTGATCACTTATATGAAGTCAGATTTCTAGTAGCCTGATCCTTTGCAGTCCTTGAGGTAATCCAGAAAGAACACTCAACAGATCTAAAAGCCACTATCTAGAACCATGCAGGAAAACCATGTACTTTGCATTTAAGTTTTACTCAGCATCTTTTGGACTTTTTTTTTTTTTTGAGAGATTTTTTCTATGGGGCACGTGCGCTCACCAGAAAGACAGAGACAGAAAGCGAGAAATCATCCCTCAGGAGGGATGGCCACGCTGCAATCCCTTATCCTCCATTCTCCTCCCGGGATCTTGGGCACGCATGCACATGTACCTGGTGTGAGTTTAAGCCACCAAGTCTGGGACTCGAACCGCAGTCGACTTCATGGGAGTCCAGCAACATAGCCATTATGCCAATTGTTGGTCCCTCTATTTTTTAAGAATTACTTTATTTAACTGTAGGTATGTATGTATGTATTTTAATTTGAGCAGACAGGAAGAGGGGGGAAGAAAGAGAGAGAGTGAGAAAGCAAGCCACCATGTACAGGACTCGAACCATGGTCAGCCATGTGGGAATCTAGCACCCTTAACCACCATGCCACCTGCTGTTCCTACCTTTTGGATGCTTAATGTCTAGCTCTTAGTAAGCTCAGACTTCTTTTTATATATATTTTTTATTTTAACTTTATTTATTATTATTGTTACTTTCCATTTTGATCAGACAGACACACAGAGAGAGGGAAAGTGAGAAAGCAAGCCACCAGATTCAGGACTTGAACCAAGGTTGGCCATGTGGGAGTCCAGCGCCTTTAACCACCACGCCACCTGCCGGCCCCAAGCTCAGACTTCTGATCTCCTGCCCCACAAGCAGAGTGGGAGCTGTAAACTCAAGGGGATAAAGGAATTCATCAAGAGCAAAAATAGTAACAGAAGAAATATAAAATTACATTTAGTGAATAACACCAAAAAGAGGTAGATAAATATTGCTTGCATAGCAAATATATCTTTAATATGATGCCCTTGAGCCTAATGAAAAGATTAAATTTTTTAAGTCTGCCAGAAGGCAAGTATGCTTGCCAGAGGGAAACAAAAACAGAGAGAGAAAAAAGCACCTCACAATGGGGCACGGTTATACTGTGTTCCCTTCTCCACCTCTCCACCCTATCAGGACTCTGGGCACATGTGCATGCACATGCACCCAGCTTATTTTTCAAGCCACCAGGTCAGGATTCAGACCATGGTTGGCCATGTGGGATCTGACTCCCTTAACTACAAGTTTATAGGGATGGCCCAAAAAAAAATTAAAATTTGAGGGGCCAGCAAGTGGCATGGTGGTTAAAGGTGCTGGACTCCCACATGGCCGACCATGGTTCAAGTCTCGGATCTGGTGGCTTGCTTGCTCCCTTCCTCTCTCTCTCTCTCTGTCTCTCTCAGATCAAACTGGATAATAATAATGATAATAATAAATAAAGTTAAATAAAAATAATTCTTTAGAAAAAAAAAAAAGATTAAAATTTGAGACCCACAGGTGGTGTGGTGGTTAAGGGCACTGGACTCCCATATGGCCAACCATGGTTCAAGTTCCAGACCTGGTGGCTTGCTTTCTCACTTTCTCTTGCTCTCGTTCACACTCTGTCTTTCTCTGGTCAAATTTTAAAAAATAAAGTTAAATGAATAATTCTTTAAAAAAATTAAAACTCATGTTCAGCATTTTCTCATTGCAAAAGCAGGTATAAAGACCAACAGGTGGCATGATGGTTAAGGCACTAGACTTCCAAATAGCCAACCATGATTTGAATCCTGGCCCTGACTTCTTGCTTTTTCACTTTCCCTCTCTCTCTCTGTCTTCCTGGTGAGTACAATTGCCCTATAGCAAATCAAATAATAATAAAATTGAATAATTCTTTTTTAAAAAAAAAGATAGCAGGAGTAAGATCAGCAGATGGTGGGGTGGCTAAGGCGCTAGATCCCACATGGCCAACTTCACAGTTCAAGTCCCTGACCCAGCGTGCCCAAAATCCCAAGACAAGAATGGAGGAGAAGGGATTATGGCATGGCCATCTCTCCCCTCCCACCACCACATTCTACCCCCAGGAGAAGATTTCTCACTTTCCCTTTCTTTCTGTTGTCTCTCTTTGTCTCTGGTGAGCTCATGTGCTCTATGGTGAAAATCTTAAAAAAGAAAAAGAGAGAGAGAGAAAGGAAACAGGAATAAAGCTAGCTGGTGGCACAGAAGTTAGGATGGCTAGATCCCACATGGCTGACTGTGTGGTTCTAGTTCCAGATCGAGCGGCCTGGAGACCACACTGGACTTTGGTGCATGCCAAGAATCCAGAGGGGAGGAGGGAAGAGAGGGCACTGATGCATGGCTGTCTCCCCACCGTGGGGATGGGGAGTTCTCACTTTCCCTCTATGTCTCTCAGTCTTTCTCCAGTGAGTGCACACATCTTATATTAAAACTAAAAAAAAAGAAAGAATACAGGAATAAGGGAAAGTATGTTCTTAATTACTTTTTTAAGCTTTAGTTATTAGGATAAGCTTTCATTAAATTAGCTCAAACAAATAACTTTTTTTGCTAATGCTAGATGTATCTTGTGGGACATAAAGAGTGAGTAGGTTTCTAAATCAGCATAACTTACATGTGCATAAAAAATACAGTTGTTTCTTTTCTTTATACTTTCCCATTTTTATTGTCCTGTAAGGCCATTAAACATAAAGATTTTTAAAACTTAAACTATAGTTTTCCTTGCTGTACCTCTTTTGAGATAGTATCTTAGTAGTTTTCCTAAGAATGGTACCACTGTATAAAAAGTTTCAATTAGCTATATTCAGAATAAATTATCTTTTGTTCTTTATTCTTACAGAGAACCTTCCGAGGCTCCAATCACTTTCGATGCAGATTCTTTTCTTAATTATTTTGATAAGATTTTAGGTAAGTTACAGTATGATGTTTACTTTCATTTTGAAACTATAAATAATATGGCTATTGCTAGAGCATTGGAGTATTTAAATCTCAAAAGCCAAAATAGTTGCTCTTTCATGGTTTTGTTTTGCTTCAACCATGAATTCTTGCCCTGTTGAATGCTTTTATAGAGGCTGGTTAGTGCTTTTTTTTTTTTGAGAGTGTTTTTTTGCTATAGGGTGCATGCGCTCGCCAGACAGACAGACAGAGACAGAGAGACAGAAAGCAAGAAATCACCCCCCAGGAGTGATGGCCACGTCGCAATCCCTTCTCCTCCATTCTCCTCTCAGGATCTTGGGCACACACGCACACGCGCCCGGCGTGAGTTTAAGCCACCAGGTCCGGGACTTGAACCGTGGTCGACTATGTGGGAGTCCAGCAACATAGCCATTACGCTAACTGCTGGTCCCGAGGCTGGTTAGTGCTTAACGTAGTAGCTGCTCATTAAATATTTGTCGAGGGATAAATAAATAAATAAATAAATAAATAATTAAAAAGAGGCCGGCAGATGGCATCGGTGGTTAAGGGTGTTGGACTCCCACATGGCTGACTGCGATAAAGTCCCAGACCTGGCAGCTAGCTTTCTCACTTTCTATCTCTCACACACTCTTGTTCCCTCTCTCACTCTCTGGTTTAATTTAATAAATTAATTAATTTTTAAAAATTAAATATTTGTCAAGGGGCCAGCAGGTGGCATGGTAGTTAGGATGGCTGGACTCTCACATGGCTGAACATGGTTCGAGTCCCAGACCTGGCAGTTTGCTTTCTTACTTTCCTTCTCTCTCTGTCTTTCTCTGATCAAGTTCAATAAAGTACATTTTTAAAAAATGACCATGAATAAAATTAAATAATTATTTTGTAAAAGTTTGTTTCAATATTTGTCGAGTGAGTGAATATGTTTAGCCTATCTACCTTGGTTACCATAGTGTATTATTTTTCCCTCTTTAGACTTACTATAGTTATAGATCAATAAGGAAGAGACAACCAGCCCAATTAAAAATCATTATATAAAACAAGCAAACATAAAAAATTGTTATATAGGGTTAACCAGTGGAGTAGTGGTTAAAGTGGCTGGATTCCACATGGCCTACTGTGCAGTTCAAGTCTCCAACACATTGGCTTGGAAAAAAAGACAGGCGTGTGTGTGCGTGCACACCTGAAATCCCAAAAGGAGAAATGGAAGAGAGGGGGTTGTGGTGTGACCACCTACCATGGCGGGGGAATGCTTTCTTACTTTCCCTCTCTCTCCTTCTGTTTCTCTGTCTCTTTCTAGCAAGCACATGCATCCTCTCGCAAGTTAGAAAAAATAATCATTGTATATGTATATGTACAGAATTGCATGGATAAAGGTCTGAGCACATAGCGACTATTAAAAGATGCTTAGCTCTGAGGAGAGAATGAGATATGAGACAATACCTCAGTATTCCTTCAATACTTATATCAAAATATACATGTATTATGTAGTTTTTTAATTTTTTAAGATTGCAGTTCATTGAGTTCCTTTTTAAAGCCGAATCTTTTATCTCTGCATGTGTACTTTTTTACAAATATGTGCCAGGATTACCTTTGTAAGTAAAGTAAAATAGCGAAGTAGTTTGTCCTAAAAGGAGTATTAGTCCTTTCTTGGGACCAGCAATTGGCATAATGGCTATGTTGCTGGACTCCCATGTAGTTGACCACGGTTTGAGTCCCGGACCTGGTGGCTTAGACTCATGACAGGCACGTGTGCATGTGTGCCCAAAATCCCAAGAGGAGAATGGAGGAGAAGGGATTATGGCATGGCCATTTCCCTCAGGGGTGATTTCTTGCTTTCTGTCTCTCTCTCTTTGTGGTGAGCACATGTTTCCTATAGCAGAAACCTCTCCCAAAAAAGGGAGTATTAGTCATTTTCTATGGGTAATATTCTAATTCTTTTGTTATATGTAATTGCTCTAAAAAAATTTACCAAGTGGTTCCTCCTGTGTTGGGGTCTGTGTAGGGCCAGGCCCTCAGGCTTCAGACTCCGACGATCTGGATGAGGAAGAGTTTGAATGTTTGGACAGTGATGATGACTTGGACCTTGGAACACAGGAGCCTGAGGAAGAGACTACTCTGAAAGGAACTCTTGATGATCTCAAGTCATACATGGCCCAGATGGACCAGGAACTAGCACTTACCAGCATTGGCAAAAGTTTTACCACCCGAAAACAAGTGGTACGTGTGTTTTTAACGTCTTTATCTCCCTAAGTCTATTTATTTAGGATAGCTAAAACATATTTTATCTTGACTTTTCTTTTCTTGTTTTGTATAAGATAAATAAAAATACTC